CAGTGTTGTTTTACGGTGAAAATAAAATAAACACTATTTTTTTCATGTAAATTTAATCCAGATTCATTTTGTTGTAAAAGAATATTTATAATCGAGTTTTGCTCTAAATCTGATCTTTTTTGCTGTTATTGTTTCGTTTCTGTTTGCTTCATTGGTTTTATTCGAGCATTCTTTATATAATTTTACTAATTGAAAGCAGAAAATAAGGATTTTATAGGTGTCTATCCCACTCTACATTTTCTCCCCAAAGTGTCATTTTATAATAAACTGTGTCCAAGTGATCAATTTGGATGTTTCCGTACATCTACACTTGGATATAATCACGTCATATGATTTAGTTTAGTTTTTTTAGGGAGAGGGAACGGTTACACAATGATGTAAATTTGTCTGGTGTGTGTCACTCAAAAGTACTGGCTTCCGTTAACAGAGAGTGTACTTGTTTCTGATAACAGCAAGAAGCTGATTTGGCACAGAAAGTGTACTTGTTTCTGATAATAGCAAGAAGTTGATTTGGCACAGAGAGTGTACTTGTTTCTGATAATAGCAAGAAGTTGATTTGGCACAGAGAGTGTACTTGTTTCTGATAATAGCAAGAAGTTGATTTGGCACAGAGAGTGTACTTGTTTCTGATAATAGCAAGAAGTTGATTTACCAAATCAACTTTTTTGCTATTATCAGAAACAAGTACACTCTCTGTGCCCTTGCTATTATCAGAAACAAGTACACTCTCTGTACACTCTCTGTGCCAAATCAACTTCTTGTTTCCACTTTTTGGGGGAAATAAAAAGTGTTTATTTTTATCATTAACACTTTAACCATTTAAGATTGTACAGTAGTTTTCGAGAAAAGAGAAAACTTGCTGCGACGTTTACTTGTATATGGGGTCACTTGAGAATACCTCTTTGTATATCAGGAAACTTATACCACTAAACAAACAATAATTTCATTGTATGAAGACAGTCAACCACCGAACACGCTGGTTGTGTAGTAACAGTATTACATTTTGTATACAGTGTCCTCTTGCTATACATTATTATAATTTTTGTTTTATTTATTATTCATTTAAAATGGTGTCTTTATAGCATAGTGAATTATTTCGTTGCCTCGAATGTAGGGGTCGAGCGTGGCCTGAATGGTTAACGAGCCCGGACTGTGAATCTAGTGACTGATGTTTCGCATCCCGATGTGTGTTATAAAAGTGACATCAGATCCACTTTTCGCAAGTCCTGAAAGAGCCAAACAAAAACAAATGAACTGTATATGTTGTGAAAATGTGGTGTAAACACATTACTGAAGGTGGCACATTTTATTGTAACACTTCTTCCTTCTGTTATTTCTAACTACAAGGTAACCCCTGTTGTCGCTACTTATTAGTGGATAATTAAAGACACTGTCTATTTTATTAGTAACTCTAACATAGAGATACTGTGTTTATTTTAGTAGTATCTCTAACATAGAGATTCTGTGTTTATTTTAGTAGTATCTCTAACATATAGATACTGTGTTTATTTTAGTAGTAACTATAACATAGAGATACTGTATCTATTTCAGTAGTAACTCTAACATAGAGATACTGTGTTTATTTTTGTAGTATCTCTAACATAGAGATACTGTGATTATTTCAGTAGTAACTCTAACATAGAGATACTGTGATTTATTTCAGTAGTAACTATAACATAGAGATACTGTGTTTATTTTAGTAGTAACTCTAACATAGAGATACTGTGTTTATTTCAGTAGTAACTCTAACAGACATAATGTATTTATTTCAGTAGTAACTCTAACAGACATAATGTGTTTATTTTAGTAGTAACTCTATTGTTACGTCGAGACTAAAACCCCCCTGCTTATCATACAATACTGTGTAAAGTTAGCCCTTTGTTACATGTATGTATTAAAACGTACCTTGTACACATTCGTTAGTCATACTACTGTTTCACGCCATGTTGATAACAGCTACAAAAAGTACTTACTACTTCACAAGCACCATGAACATACAGATGTTTGACTGCAAGTGATTCAAATTTAACTTTATGTTCAACGGCGTTTCATGTTTAATCACATAATAGTATGACATACATACAAACGTAAACACACACTCACATATATACATATATATATATATATATATATATATATAGAATGCGTGCTAAAAATAGTCATTTGGATATTGTGTCGAAAACTGCCACGTTTAAAAGTGTGGAGAAGACGCTCACATGACACAGGGCACGCGGCAGGGTCACGTTCAAGCCGTCCGCACGTGCTCTATAATACGAACGTGCCCCACCCGTGTCGGCGCACCGGGCTTTGATTAAACTGATAGCCGTCTGTCTAAAGTATACCTGGGAGGGCCCTGAAAAACGTTATTACAATTGACGGCGGCATTATTGGCGGGCTTTCTCATCCCACAAGTAAACTTGTCTGGAAGAGAGGCAGGTAGTTTGGTTAATGTGCCGCTGTTAGAGAATGCCGTGTAGTATTTTCTTTGTTATTTTCATGTTGTTCTTTTTTCGTTTTTTCGTTTTGGCGTTGCTATATATATATATTGGACATTCAAAATATGATCCGTGTCTAATAAATAGGTGACGTTTAAGTGTGAAACAGAATTGAAACGTTACTGTAGTGGCCTACGAGGATTATCATGCTAGGTGAATTAGGGTCAAATATGCCAGAGAGTCGGGAGTATTTTCTTTAACTTAATTTGTAGTATCTACAACCCTCCAAACTTGTTTTGATACACACAACAGGCATGGTCAAATTAATACATTCAGAAGAAGTATTATCCATATAAACTTAATGACTTGTTAAATGTTCTTATTATGACGTCATTTACAAAATATTTTGTCTTATAGTTGACTACGAATACAACTTTTAACAATCTATATTAAACTAGCCGCGACCCGCAAACATTTGCGATAGTTTACATGCCCTACATTTGAATGTTCACGAACTTAAGCTACACTTTCTTGCCTGCATTATATGTTAGAACGATAAATCCTGATCTTTTTTTCTTTAATTTCTCGGTCAAACATAAAAACTTACATAGACAAAACTTTATTTAATAAAACTACACATAAAGTGGACAAACAAAATCACGTAGATGTAACTTTATTTAATAAAACTACGTGTAAAGTAGACAATAAAGTAATGGTATTTTTAATAGTGTATAAAGTATGAAACAGTTATGAGCGTTTAGTGTATGACACGGTTTTAAAAAATTAAGCAAAGAAACTCACCAAAACGAAGAATAAAACTTAGTAAAGAAGAAAAAAATAGATAAAAGGTGTTAACAGCAGTCATGAAACAACCTGAAGCTAAATTATTGAAAAGTAAAGTGAATGTAAAGTTGTAATGAAGGCAAACTTAGCTGAATATGCAGAAACGCCCGAATATGGTTTTGAACGA